AGGAAGTGGAATAAGCTTCCGGCGACGGAGCGAGCGAGGTTGAAATCGAGGCAAGGAGTGAGAACTCTAGCTTTGACGGAAGCTGACGTGGTGGATCCCCAGTCGGGACTCAGTGTGAAACGCGACGGGTCAACTGTTGGAGAGATCGTTTTAAAAGGTGCTAGTGTTATGCTGGGTTACTTCAAAGATCCAATCGCCACGGAGAAATGTATGAAAAACGGGTGGTTTTACACCGGCGACGTCGGCGTTATGCACGCCGATGGGTATATGGAAATCAAAGACCGTTCAAAGGATGTCATAATCAGCGGCGGCGAGAATATCAGTAGCGTCGAAGTTGAGTCTGTTCTTTATACTCATCCGGCGATCAACGAAGTGGCGGTTGTGGCTCGGCCCGATCAGTACTGGGGGGAGACTCCTTGCGCGTTCGTGAGTTTGAAAACTGGGTTGACTCGTAAACCCAGTGAGCAGGACATAGTTCAGTATTGCAGAGCTAAGCTGCCTCACTACATGGTGCCCAAAACGGTGGTGTTTAAAGACGAATTGCCCAAGACCTCGACGGGGAAGATTCAGAAGTTTGTTCTTAGAGATATTGCCAAAGGAACGGGTCCTTCTTCTTCATCTTCCTCACGAGTGAGTCAGCCTCGTACTCGGATGTGAGCTGAGTTGACTCTGAATTGATCTCCATCAGCATGAAAAATATTATATTATCTTTTTTATGAAAAACTGGTCAAACATGAATTTATGACTCGGTAACAAATAAAGTATGGAAAAAAGATGTATCGTGCTTAACTAGAAACACATTTAGTTATTATATATTCTTTAATCTAGTCAAAGAAGGTTATCCAAATACTAATTCAAGACAAATAATAAAAATATTATTTTTAATAAAAATATATCAAATAAATTAAAATTTGTACTAAATATCAAATGGAAGATGACAAAATTTTAGGCCTGCCATACGAGAAAACTCTAGACCATCCACGTGGAATTATTTTCTTTATATAAGCTTGGTTATATATAGATGTCTATCCATCTAAATTAAGTTAAAAATAATTACAAGGATCGAATAAAATCATAAAATAATATAATTTTAAAGAAAAAAAGTTTGAAGTTTTGTTCATCACATTCTTCATTTCTTGTTAAAACTAATAGAGGTGTGTAATCACCATTTTTATCCGTCCAACCTTATTAATTATTAACATGTTACTATATACTATTATTATAAATAAATATTTTTTATTAAAATTTATAGATAAAACCAAATACCTAATAAAGTCTTACCATACCCCAAATTAAGGTTAAACTTTTGGATTATATAATTGGGGCTTATATGTGATTTTACAAAAGCATAGGGGCTAATTGTGTGATAAACCCTAAGGTTTATTGTATTCGAATACTATTCTCTTCCTTTTCCTTTCTCCCCACTTGTTCCAAAAACTATCGCTCGCATCACTTTTTCTTCTTTTGTGTTTTTGGTTTTATATCATTCTGTCACCGCTAGACTATTGTAGATTTCACCATCGGCGTCACTTGATTCGTCTTGTTATTCCCATTCGTCCCATGCCCTTTCTTTCTCTATCACCTTCTCTGTTAGCGATTGTGGAGGAGAAATTGTTTAAGGTTTTATGAAAAATTCATCTCCGTCGTCCACCACCAGAAGCTAACTTCGGTAAGAGATTCCCCGTCTCTTGAAATGTAAATCTGAAATTTTTGAACATTTTCAATTACCGGAGGGCATCACACACACCATATTCATCATCACTGCACGCATGAGAGAGTTTTCCAATAGACCATACAAACTAGTTTGATGACTAGAGCCGCTGATCCGAATCGGACTGAATCGTTATGACCTAAACCATTAACTATTAACTTTTATCGTTGACTTTTTCTATTGGTCCTTACCTTTATATTTTTTTACGCATTTAGTCCATTTTCGTAGTATTACTTTATTTTACATTTATATCAAGTAAATTCTGAAATTTATCATATTACTCTTTGATATTATGTTTTGAAGGTGGTCATGTATCTTCAGATTATTCTCCCATAGATTCAGACACCTCTACTTGACTCATCTAGACTCTGCACGTTCGACATAGTATTTCATTGTTATAAGGTTCCCATTCTACATAACCTATTACTATATAGGGCTTAACTATATCATTTAGTTAGTATGGATGTGTTCCTTGATCTATATTATATGTTTGCCTTTTTCCTATTGTGTTTAGTTTGATATACTTGCTATTGGATCGCCTTGATTGCGTGATAGTTCTCAATCACACGATTATATTATATGGTTTTGATTGTATGCATGTGTAACACCCTAAACTCGATTGGACTTAAAGTACTACACTTGGCTACTGAGGCAACCTGTTTCAAAACCTGTTCATTTTCCTTTTAAACTCAATGAATGGTATCATAATTAAAACATAAATAAATGATATAAAATATTTTACAAAACCGAAGCTCCGTGATACATACTTTAAAACAAAATAGTACATCTTGAAGTTTACAACTCAAATACTTAAGTAAGGTTCTATGAATATACATGCCCACTAAAGCTACAATACAATACTATGTCGGAGATGCTGAAAGCCCTTTTGTGACGGTGCTCCACGAACTGCACAACCTACTGACCTGCCAATGAAAAACATCCGAAGCTTACAAAGCCTAACAGTATAATCGCTAATCTAGAGCAGCATAAGAGTTTCATAAACATAAGCATGCTAAAAGACATAGTACTAAGCAGTAAGGACATTCATAACCTAAACCACATGTTATCTACTTAGGGTTCGACAGTTCTATCGCTATAGTTTGAGTCTCATACTTCCGTTAGTCTTCTACTAAGAGTCTTGCCATGAGTATACAAATATTGCGTCTCTAACTACAATATCAAAAATGACAGAATGCAATAAGCATGATATATAACCAAACATCAAATATACATATATTTATTGGCATTACCATCAATACACGAAAGTGCCTTAGCACTGGTACTGAAGTGCCTCAGCATTGATACGAAAGTGCATTTGCACTTATACTAAAATGTCTTAACACTGCTGGCATATATCCGAATATTTCACATAGGCATAAGTCTTATGGAATCTTAACTTATAAGGTTCTTATGGTTATCACACATATAGTATTATTATCTTGTCATTATTATCATTTACAACACAAGTAGGTGATAACGCTCCCTTACTTACTAGTATTTCGATCATTCTCTCTCTAAGAACGCTATGCAAAAGCTTAACGGTATTTTAGTATCTTATGCCTTTAAGACAATTCATAATCATTACTACCCATGCACACACAAATCCCAAGGGCAACACAACACTGATACCGCTAACCCACTCCTCGCGAATGTTCGGGCCTCGTGCCCTAGTTAGCTACTGAAGTGCCTCGCGCACTGACAATGCCCCATTAGGGCAACTAAGGTGGCCTGGCTTTACCCTAGCATAGCTAGACTAACTAAAGTAAGGTTATCCTCTTATTAGCAGATATCTCGCTTGTTCTTTACTTAAGGATGCTTTAGTCACTTTGACCCAAGAGAAGTCTCTACATGTTCCTGATTTAACTCATTGAGTTTGCTTATCACTGACTACACTATTTGCTAGCCCGATACATGACTCAGATTCAACTTTGAGTAGTGACGCTCTAGTCGCTCTTGTCGTACTTCCCTTTAATATACCTTGAACTGAAAGGGTTGGCTTACACTTTTCGGGTTCACTGACATTCTCGAAGCTCATGCTTTTCACTATTACTGATTTAGACTAATTCTTTGTATCGCTTGTCGGTACATCCTTTACAACGATTTTCATCCTTAACTATTTGTATACGCACTTAATTGAAAATATATGTGTGTATTACGCTTACTATGGTTGCATCCATTGTAACCCACCTTTAAACACATTCTTTAGCACTTATTCTAGTGTTTTACACATATTCGATCCATTTATGGTCATACTATGGGTTTAAGGCCTTCCAGGAAACATTTTAGGCATTTTTAGACATTTTGGGCAGGGTTTCGAAACCACTTTAGGGGTGCAACAATTCTAACATCAAAGATAAATCATAAGAAAGAGAATCAAAGAGGAAAAATACAACAATAAAAGAAAATATTGTTTTTATTTTATGGGTAAATTACACACTTACTCACTGAATTTTACTCTCTCTCTCCTATTTCACTCACCGTACTTTCAATTTTTTCAATTTGCTCACTAAACTTTAGACATTGACCTTTTTTTATCACTCATTCGATGAAATAGATTATTTTATTATTTTCTCATATGACATGTCATATCACTCACCTTACATTTCCCTTGCCAAAGCTGTTGTGGTGCTTCCAAATTCAAGGAGAATCAGATAGTTTTTGGACTTGGGGTTTGTTTGGATACAAAAGATGGTTTTTTCTCTACGATAACCAAAAATGGTGCCTGTAATAACGCTAGAAGTAGATACAAGCAGTGGATTGATTTCACGGTGTTTATCGATGCAGGCGTGGTTGCAGCTTGGGAGGAGGAGTGCCATGACCGGACTTGTTTCTGGCAGTCGACAGAAGTAACACCGTTTGTTAGATTGGTGGTGGCACTAATTGTTAGATGCCATTGAAACTTGAGTGTTTGGGATTGAGAATTTTAATTTTAGGGTTTGGATGTATATTTTAATATTTTTTTAAATTTATTTTTATTATAATCCTAAATAATATTAGAATATTAATAAAAGCATGACATGTCATGGGAAAGTAATAAAATAATCCATGTCATCGAATGTGTGACTAAAAAAGTTCAATGTCCAAAGTTTAGTGAGCAAATTGAAAAAATTAAAGTACGGTGAGTGAAATAGGAAAAAGAGTAAAGTTTAGTAAGTAAACATGTAATTTACACTTCTTCTATTTAAAAGTATGTTTTGATTAAAGTTTAAAAGACAATTCTTAATTCTGACAATACAACTCATCTTAAGACCCTTTATCTGCGTGGATATACCCTACAAGCCCAAGTAGAAAAAATAAGGCAAAACCATCCATTTAAATGAGTTGAATATAGATAATATACATCAAATTGGGTTATTTAGACCTTCAAAGCAATCTTCTGAGCTGCAAGTGCTTCAGCTTCAAGTGTTGGCTCATACAATATTGTAGTTTCTGCTAGCAACCCTGTTACAACATACGGGTCCATGTTCGAAGCCGGACGCCGATCTTCCAAGTAACCTAATGAATCGACACAGAGAGAACAACAATACTGATTATTACGTTTTTCGTTAACCTATATGATTCGAGTTTGAAAGGATCGTTACCTTTTCCATTCTTCTCAGTGTCACGCCCGACTCGGATCGAACAACCGCGGTTAGCGACTCCCTGCAAGATGAAATTTACCAAAACTTGATGAACAAGTAAAGAAAAAAGCACCTATGTTTATATATATATATATATATATATATATATATATATATATATATATATATATATCATCAAGTATACCCAAGAAAAGGTGTCAATGCTGGCTGTTTCATGCTTCCCTGTCAATCTTCTCTCATTTCCTTCACCATAGGCACTGATATGCTCCTTATGGCGGAGCCACAAATTCAAGATTGCTTTCTTTATAACTTCAAAGCCTCCCTCTTCCCTCATGCTCTTAGTACTGTAATTGGTGTGACATCCGGCACCATTCCAGTCACCCTATTGAACATGAACAAGAATTGAGAAACCGGCTCTAATATGGACAAATAGTAAGAATTGGAGAGCGTCTCGGAGTGTTGGGTTACCTCTATTGGCTTAGGATCAAGAGAGAGAACAACACCGGCTTGTTCAGTGATTCTCTGTAGGAATAGTGGAAATCATTGGTGAGTTATTCAGTGGTTTGGACTCGGTGGCGAGTCTACTTAATGGTTTGTAGTTGTATCGAGAATAAATACCTCGAGAATGTATCTGGAACACCAGATATGATCTCCGGCTTCAATGCTGACACTGGGACCAACTTGATACTCCCACTGCATGGTGATATACAGAATCAAATGGTGATAACTAATGAACAAACAAGCACGAAAGAAACAGTACAAAGGGACTCAACAACAGCAGACCTGGCCTGGCATAACCTCCCCATTGGTTCCACTGATGTTAATACCGGCATATAGACAAGCCTTGTAATGAGAGTTGGAGATGTCACGCCCGAATGACTTGTCGGCTCCAGCTCCACAGTAATAAGGACCCTGAATTTGGCATCAAAGGGCCATATCTATGTTCATGTAACGGCATGTAAAACTATATTTATACATCACGAATATATATTTCCTGGGGACCAGGGTAGCCTCCAACAGGCCAACCCAAAGGCCATTTCACATTTTGTTGAAGTAAGGTGTACTCTTGCTCAATCCCAAACCTAAAAGGAACATTTTTAAGACACTTTGGAATCTTTGCGGCAAATTTAATTCGAAGAACGAGAGATGATCGACTCTGTACCATGGTACTTCATCTACCACCTTCTTGTTACTGAAAATCTCAGCCGCTTTGTGGCGCTTGTTCGTGGGAATGGGCTCACCGGCCGGTGTGTATGCATCGCAAATTACCTTCGCAAAAGTACATGCAGAAGATACTATCCACAATATATAACTTACTTGCAGAAATCAATATCTTTGCATGATACAATACTCACCAAAATGTTGTTACCTCCCCGGAAAGGGTCCTTGAAAATTGCTTGAGGGCTGGATGAAGTTTTCAGTCAAAAATGGCATTTCGATGATAAAATCACAATAAACAAAATTCTATGTTTCTTTTAGAGGTCTCTTACTATAGAATAACTTCACTATCATCACCAGGTGCTTGTCCGGTGCTCGATCCGTCGTAGTTCCACTTGGGAAGTTCAGAGGGATGTTCAACTGGCTTTGCAATTGTCTGCAATAAACATAAGAAAACACAAAAAACTAAACCCTATAAATTGAAAATTTCCAACAAACTTTAGTTATGGTAACTAGTTTCTTACCCTGGACTTGCTCCGCATGTCGATTCCACTGCCTCCTATCCAGTTTCAGTAATGAAAGAACAGTGATTCAGATACGATGACAAGCGAATTCGTCCCGAACCTGCTGTATTCTAACTTGTATCGGTGGTCGAACGAACCGGTTGGGACAAAACGAATGAATGACTAAGAAAGATGATATACCAAATATATTCGGCAATGATCTTGTCAGTGTATGGAGAGACGTCCATGTTTAGTAGCTGTTCTACCCTGTTGACAGTGCTGTTATCGGACTGCAAGGCGAGCACTCTAAATTTACCGGTGGCTTTGGCTGCTCCATGCATGTTCTGTTTCAACAACAAAGAACTCCACATCTTTGTTGCCATGGGACTCCCAAAGGAGGAGCACTTTGGTACTCTCATCTGCCATTGAGTTGCAGGTGCCAGAATCTGTCCCATTCTCCCCTTAACTGGAAATCGAAACAAGCATAACAACAAACAACTCCAAATCTTGAACACAATCTTCAATTGCTGTAATTGTAAAGATGCAAATGACATGCACCATAAACATTAGATTTTGATAGCACTTACTACCCTAACGTGTAGCACAAGGAATTCTAAACTATGAACCCCAATGAAACATTACTAAAGAATAAAGACTTGAACTAACCTAGGAACTGCCTGAAAATGGCCTGACGGAGAACCGGAAACTATGTCTTGCCGGTGCGGGATTTGCCTGTGCAAGTAGAGGATGAAAGACCAAGTAGGGTTATTTTATGGTGCAAATAGGAGGAAAAAAAGGTGTTGGTTTTTGGTATGCAGATAGAGGTAGTGTTTGTGAGTGGAGGAAAATGGTTTCTGGTTTCTTTTAATGCCACCAAGAGAAGCTTTTGCTTGGACTATATACTTGAAAATGAAAACTTTCAGATAAGGCGTCTCTCTCTTCCTTTTCTATCAAGTCTCAACCTCAACCTCAAAAAACTTACATGGATACCTGATAGACTCAATTATAGACTGTAGATGGAGCACTATGCCATTTGAGACAGTAATTATGATGATTCCTGTGCACCAAGAATTCGTTATATAAACCAACTCGATTAGACTCGAATTTCTTAATTACATCAAATTAGCAGTCTGTTTGTAATTCTAATCATCAACTCTAAAAGCTTGGAGAATCTGTGTATATCTGCACTTTTGGGACCACAGGATAATGGAGGAGTATGTGCCTGCTTATGCACATGTTGAAGATCCCTTGGTTTAATCTTTACAACCATTGATGTTGTGGCTATGGAGATAGCACCAATGACCCTTTATTTGTTTGTTTTTAATAATTCCAAAGATGTTTGATGAAATTAGTGGCAATGATTTTCTCTCAAGTTATTGTGCCAACGATTTTAGTCACTAAACTTTAAAAAATAATAATTCAATAATCAAACTTTTAAATTATTTATGTTTTCATCACGTAAACGTTAAACTAAAGACAATTGGATAGCATATTATCTCTATAATTTTTCTTTCTTTTTTCTTTCTCATAAAGATGGAACTTTAAGAGTTTCATCTATAATGTTACATAGAAGTCGAATTTTTTTATTATTATTCAAGATATCGACAAATTCAATCATCTCTCATCACTCTTGATTTTTTAAAATCTTTTTAAAACTCGCAAAATTAAATCCAAAATACAAAGAAACGATTTTAACCTACAATCTCTACCATTTAATTAACTTACAATCGGAATATATAACCCAATCTCTACAATTTCCACCGTTGTGATTAGGAAAATGATACTCCAACATCAGAAAATAAAAATATATATAAAAAAAATCTTAAGAAGATTTTATGGGGTCTTCACAAAAGAATTGAACCATTTAATGATTTTTAAAAAGGTGTCTAACCATAAAACTCTTTCAGGTCCTGGATAAGAATTTTTGTCATGAAAAAAGAGATCCTTTGATCAAGAGAACAAGTCCAAACTCATGTTCTTTCATCTCTCAAGCTATGAGCTTAGTAGTAATTACATTGCTTTCATTTACAGTTTAATCCTTGAACTATAGTCGTTTTTTCAACTTTGGTAGCTAAATTTGTTTTCTTATCCACTTTGATACTTAAATTATCATTCCGTTTCGATTCGTCTAAAAAAAATCAACGGTAAAAGAAAATGAAAACGACATCATCTACCACGCGCCATATTCTTATTGGCTAACATTGCCAGCTATCTTGAGAATTGAGAGGAAACAGAGAAGAAAGAGTGAGTAACTAAGAATCCAAGATCCATCATTTGAGAGAATCAAAAAGCAAAGAGATTGTATCAGAGTTGAGAAACTTCACAAAATCTCTTAGCTTCATCATATGTTGCCCTGGCTCTACATGTGACTAATACTCGTGTCCGGCATATAGATACGGAGATGTGACCTCCAAGGACCATCCAAATATGTTCTAGGACTTAAAAAATCTAACTATACCCGAGTCCGAGAAACGTAGGTTTAGACTTCAAGAGCTCCGAATCAACAAAACTACAAAGAAGTTAACAACGTGAAAATAACCTGGCTTGATAACACCGATTCCTCAAGTCCAAACAACACTGATGTAAGGGCCAATCAGAAATACGACAAGCAACCAGTGGAGAACATGGAAAAAAGACATGAAATCAACTGACTTTACTCGCACAGCTAAACTGCAAGCAATAAGAGGAGTGATTTTGTTACTTACACTAGTGCAAGTGGGAGAAAAATTTACCGAGTTGAGGGGAAAATCAAGAAAAAAGATAAAACAGTTTCATTTGAAGACTAACAGATTCAATCAAATTTTATCCTCTTTTTCAGATAGAGTTTTAGGTCAGTAAGGGCACATTCAGTGGATGTATGTCAAAAAATGAGGAAGAGTTAAAGGAAAGGCAATTGATAATTTCCTAGACACTAGACAACAATATATCAATCTAGAATTCTAGACTCTTCACTTGTCTTAACATACAAGTATCCTGCACTTGTGTCCTACTCGTAGTCATACGAGTATGTGAGTATGATTCTCCAAATACATGGATAACTTAGGGAAAAAACCATGAGCATAACCGCATCTGACACACACTCTGAAGTCCTGATAACATAAACATCAATTAAGCTCCAATAAGAAATTCACCCAAACTCTCGGGGAGTAAATAAACCATCTAGCAACAACTTGAATTTGAGCTTTATATTGCTTACAGAAAGATCGAGTATCATTCTATCAGCTAATTAACAGCATCATGAAAGAAATTTTTACTACAGGCACTTAAAAGTCCATATAAAACAAGCTATGACCACAAAATCATTCACTCTAGAAACAAATCTATATAACAGGAACTATTATCATATCAAAGTAACATATAAATATATAACACCTAAACGCGGTTATGACTTATGACATTGTGAGAATGTAGGAACAAATACATGGGTTGACAGGTCTCCTCATAGCATAAACTTCAAATGGAACTAAAGATGATAAAGCTTCAAACAGTATCCACTAAAATTGTCTAGATGTAACCATGAATAATGAAAAATCTAGCCAAAATATGCGAATCTTCACAGTGTAATAAGCTTACAATTGAAAACCTTAAATGCATAGTTATCCTGCACCCAACAATATCTATCTCAGCATGCATTCAAATTCACAGCATCAATGATTCCCAATAACACAAAAGTAGACGAGAAATAGAAAAAACTACCTCAAATGAATGGCGTCCTTTGCCTAACCCTAGCCTTCTCAGCATCAATGATAGACCCCACCAAATTAACAGCCTCCTCAAGCTTCCCTTGAGCATTAACAACAACATAATCAAACCTCTTAGCAAGCTTGACCTCTTCTCTAGCAGTAGCAATCCTCACAAGCAATTCCTCTTTACTCTCAGTTTTCCTCTCAATCAGCCTCTCAACAAGCGCTAATTCACTCTCAGCAACAAGAAATATGAACAACCCAGAATCCCCAAGGATCCTCCTCAATGTTTCAGCCCTTGAATATCGACCCTCAACAATATCACCCTTTCCCCATGAATTCCCTGATTTGCCTTTTGGGTATCCCTTTATAATCCCCATAAACCATAGCATACTCCAAAAGCTCATCTTTCCGAACCATCGATAAAAACTCTTCCTTTGACACAAAAAAGTAATCTTTACCATCAACCTCACCGGGTCTCATCGGTCTACTCGTGGCAGTGACGACGAAATGAAGATTCTCCCGGACTTGTCTCAGCCGTTTGATGACTGCATCTTTGCCAACGCCACTCGGACCGCTTATGACGAGGATTAAAGAGTTCGGGGTGGGGAGAATCGACTCGGAGCTGAAAGATGTTCCTAGGGAAGACTCGAGAGCACGGAGTAACTCGGGTTTTGAGGCTTTTTCGAGGGAAGGGAAAGAATGGGACTTCTGGGTATCGGCCATTTTGAAGAGGAGGCGTTTGGGAATCGTGTGGGGGGCGGTGAAGATGGGTTTGGGAGGGAGGGGAAACGGGAGGCGTTTAGTGTGAAAGAGAGCTGTGGAGAATCTACGAAACATGAGGGGGTTTAGAGTTTGGATCCGACAAGGTGATGAGAAATTATGAGAATCTAAAAGAGGGTTTAAGTGATGGGATTGGGCATTTTGTGTTAACAGTTTGGGCGTTTTTATGGTTTGGATTGGGCTGTTGTTGTTTCTGGACGAGGAGGATTGTACATGTTTTGGTTAGAGATTTTAAATTTGAATATGTAGTCTAAGGAAATGTTCAAATATTTATTATTAAATGATTATTTTATAATTAATTTAAGTTAATAAAAAGTAATTAAAATTAATTAATATAATAGATATATTTATTTTTAAGTATTTAAATATGATCTTGAAACACATATTCATTGAATGAGTAAAGGCAACAATTGGACATATATCGTCGTCCAACTCATACTCGTGCTAATTGATTTCTTGCTCAAAACCATTTATTGTCTTTGTTCTTTTGATTCAAAATGTTTTTCGAAACTGTATTTGTATATGAATATGAAATGTTACTGCAGTTTCATTTGCTTCATCTTTGAGTACGTTTGTTTATGAAGTTATTGAAATCTTACTAGTATGCCTGTTTCCAGATAGGTTTCCATATTGCTCTCTATGCTCAAGCATCCCCATCCTCTGCAGCATTATGGTCTCTTTCTTCCATATATAAGATAAGTATTTTAATACTTTAATCCGATGTGTATCCTTCTGCTGTGGTCTCTAATGCTTATTAATGCTATAAGCCCTACTGAGCGTGCAAAAGTGGCATTTAGTGATCTCTTACGACCTCTCCAGTCGCTGACAAAGCACGGTATGAGCTTATCGCAGGCTTTGGAACATGTTAGGAGTAAACGACCATCAGCAGCTCCTAATCCTGGCTTCATCCTACAATCGAAAGAGTTCGAAAAATATCTTCAAGGTGCGGGTGCATCTCGATACAGACATATATCTATCCCTTGGTGCACAAGTCCCAGCACATGGCCTTCGATAACATGCTCTTTGGTTAAGGTTGACAAAGAAACACATGGATTGCATCGAATACTAACTAATAATGATTCAGATTTGCAGATGGCTGATGGTCGGTTGAGTGGGAATGCCCGAGGAAGATGCTCGGCCATGCTGCACTTGCAAAACCAGTACAGGCCGGGAAGAAAGCTGAACCAAGCCCTGCATGTGCCGGAATTCAGGTGGTCGGCGGAGTTTTTGTAGTGACCCTGGAGGCTGGAGCCTGGAGCCAGATAGGTACAATCTCTTATTCTGGTCGGTATGTCTGTTATGTTGATTCCAAAGACGGGATTTTAGTTTGAGGTATAATTAATAATAAAAAAATGAGAAGGTAAAAACAAAGTAAATCACAATTTAAAGACCTGAATAGGTAATTATCCCTATATTTTTAATGGTGAAAGAATTTGTGTGTGGGGAGGGGCAGTGGCCCTCTCCAAGGGCCTACATGGCTCGATCTCTGCTTATATTAATTTGGGGTTTTAACCCTCGATTTTTTAATGAAATGAGACATTAAATCTTTTAGGTAAGATTTGGATTTCGAACTTTA